CTGCCCCCAGCCTCCCCTGCAGCTTCGGCCCAGCGCCCCCACCAGCACGTCCAGCGAGGGTGGCTGCACGAAGATGTAGATGGGCTGCAGGTCCGTCTTCTTGATGTTCCGCACACCCTGCAGGTCCACGTCCAGCACGCAGATGCGGTTCATGGCCTGCACTGCCCGCACAGCAGCTTTGCTGGAGCACAGAGGGGCAGGAACCGCTCAGCGGGGCTGTCTGGGCCCAGCAGCCCCCCCCCCCAGGCCTCAAAGGGCCTCCGCAGGACCATTGCTGCCCATGTCCTGGGCTCCTGCCTCCCCCACTGGCCTGCACTGGGCGTGAGCCTGGCCACAGTGCCCACAGGAACGTACCCAGACCCCAGCTTCTCCCCCCCTTCTGCAGCATCTGCGTGCTGGGCCCTCTGCTGGGCCGAGGGTGGCTGTGGTTCGTGGCACGAGGGCCCTGGCAGGCACTCGCCTGCCCAACAGCCCCAGTGATCCCTCTGGGGCCCCCCCTCCCGCCCAGCTGTACCTAGGGCCTAGGCTGCAGCAAGACAAGTCCAGCGGGGTCGCTGCTTCACCCTCGCCAGGAGGCTCAGGGACAGGCTGCACACGGAGGCATGCCTGGGCCCGCCTGCCCACGACGCTGCGCAGGGCCTGCCAGCCAGGTAGGAGGAGTGGGCAGAGACCCCGTGGACCGGGGGGCACTCCCACGCCCGCCCAGGGGCTGCAGGAAGGCAGGCCACAGTACAGCCTGTGCACCTAGGGGACCCGGATTCCCCAAGTCCTTGCGGTGCACCGTCCCCGGGGACCTGTGGTTCCCACAGAGGCCTGGCCGGGGGCACACAAGGTGGCCGGGAGGAGGCAGCCCGGAGGGCCCCAACTGCTGCCCCGTCTTGACCCCTGGTGTGGTGGGCACCTTGGAAAACCCACACAAGACCCCCTGCCTAGGTCAAGCCAAAGGGGGAGCCCCTGGGAGGGAGGAGAGGTGCCCAGGGTGGCCCACCTAGTCCCATACAGGTTCCCTGAGAACTCGGCGTGCTCGATGAAGTCGCCCGCGGCGATGTCCCGCTGCATCACCTCCCTCGTCACAAAGTAGTAATCTGCAAGGAGGGCTATCTGAGGCGTGCCCACGGCCCAAGCCCCAGGGCGCTCGGGGACCAAGCGTGGCCAGGGTCCGCTTCCCCGTGGACCTGTCGGCCCCACCGACAGGTGGGGGACACACGTACGGACGGCACTTTCTCACACCATCCCTGCCGTGAGAGCCAGAAAACCATGGGCTTCCGGGGGAGGCTACGGGGGCTGATCCCGTGGACACTACAGAGGAAGCCTGGGGTCAACCACACACGCTCGCATGGGTCCAGAGAGATGCCCCGCGGTGACCTCACCCCGTGTCCACCCGAGCGCCAGCACGCTGCCCGCCCTGCAGACGCCGAGGCCCAGCTCACCTTTGCCATTCTCTTCTCCAGGCCGCGGGTCCCTTGTGGTGTCTAGGAACAAGTGCCTAGGATCGATCTGGGACACCTGACCCCACTCCCCACTCACGCCTCCCCTGCAGGGCCAGGCTCTGCCCCTGCGTGGGGGGCTGCAGGTCAGGGTCAGCGGCGTGGGGCCCCTCCCCCGTGTGTGTGGGTATGTGGGTCAGCAGGGCCTGGCCCCACCCCGCCGCACCCCCACCGCAGCCTGGGCCTCACGGGACACGCTGAAGCCGAAGACGCTGCCATGCTCCTGCAGGAGTCTCTTCAGCAGGGTGCTCTTCCCGGCCCCTGACGGTCCACTCAGGACGACCGGCCTCGGGCCTGACATCCCTGCGGGCGAGGGAGACAGACGTCAGCGAGGCCGTGCCGGGGCACAGCCGGCTGCCCTGGACTAGAATCCGCTCCGGCCGCACCGTGTGGCTCCCCGCTGTCCAGCCCTGGACTGCAGCTCCTGGCTCCATGCGGGACCGGAGGCTGATCTCACAAGGCGGTCGGGACGTGGGGCTGACACCACGGGACCACAGCACGCTCAGCCCTCTGCTCGCCGGGCCCCGGGAAGCCGGCAAGTGGCCGGCCCGCAGCACAGGGCTCGGACAGCTGCCCCCGGGAGCAGAGGGCCCTCCAGAGGACCCCAGCCCTGCCAGCTCGCACCCACCCGACCACCCCCAGCTCGTCCTCATGCCCCACCTCCCGGCAGGGTGCAGGTCTGCGATCAGCCCGGGGTGGCTCTGCAAGAGCCGGAGCTCACCCCCTCCTGCCCCCCCGCCTCCTGAGCACTAAATCCCTCCCGAGGCTGCTGTCGGGGACACGGGGCAAAGGCTGCTCCTCGCCCTGCCACCACCCAGCCACGGGACGTCCCACGTGAGGAGGACCAGAACCGACGGTGGGGGCAGAGGGAGACCTGGGAGGGTGTGCGGCCAGCCGTGGCTGCTCCCTCCTGGGGCTGGCCCCTGCAGGGCTCCAGGTGGGGGCCCGCGGTGGGCCGGCAGACCCCCCGGGGCTGCCCTGGGTTCTGGCCTGGGGCCACTTGCTCTCCTAATCCTCGATGTAGGCCAACATGGTAATCTGGCTCAAGCACGGCTATTCTGAGGCCGGCACGCCATCCGTACACGCCCTGGAAGGACTGCAAGCAGGAGGCGACCCCTGCCGAAGACACACGAGAGAGGCCGGGCACCACGCGCTGAGCGTCACCTCCCGCGACCCCTCTGCCAGGTGTCCGGTTCAAGGACACATCCTCCTACCAGCAGCGGTGTCCGGGCTTTCCCGCCCACAGCCACGGGTCCTTGCCTGCAGGATCACCCTGACTTCCCAGGTGCTGGCAGGGGGACAGCGGAGCAGGGGTGGAGGGGGGCGGGGTGCAGGACAGCAGAGAGGGGGCTGAGGTCGGTCCACCGCGTGCCCAGCCACACACGTCCCTCCTGCCCCAGGGCTGGGCAGGTCTCCCCGGCACCCTGCAGGGACTCGAGTTCCTCTGGGCAGGGGCAGCCCGGGGTGGGTATGTGGCAATGGTCAGGGAGACGACCAGGAGGCCCGCCCGGGGGGTGTTCACGGCACAGACCCTCAATCCAGCAGACGTGGCTGGAACCTCGGGGCCCAACTTGGAGCGCCCGCCTCCAGGGACAGAAGGACCTAGAAGGGTTCCCCACCAAGGACTGCGGGAAGAGGCACCTGTGTCCCGGGGGCCGTGGGCGCCCTGGAGCCTCCAACTGTAAACTCCCCAGCGGTTCCTGCCTGCGCCCAAGCCTGTGGGCAGGGCCAGACCTCCATCAGCTCCGACATGTGGAGATGGCAAACCTACCAGGAAACACTCGTCTCCAGTGAGGGCCGCACACCGCACTCGGAAGTCCCAGTGCCCAGCACCGTCCAGCGCGGGGCGGGCCGCAAAGGTCTGCCCTCCCAGGCCCACCACCCACCTGGAGCGCCCCGGTGAGTAGCAGGTATGTGCTTAGGATCCCCACCGGGCGCTGAGCCAATGCCTCGCCCTGCCTGCCTCCTCCCACAGGCTACAGACCGCCCCAGTGCTCAAGGCCTACGACACTGATAAGGTGGGGTAGGGAACAGCCGCCTGGCATCGTCCTGCAGGTGTGGGCTCTGGCCACCTTGGGCCCACCGAGGGCACCGAGTCCTCGCTCGAGTGGTGCCCGCAGAGCCCAAGGCTGGCTCAGCCGGACACAAACGGAGGCACGCACAGACCACACCAGGGCAGCCTGGTCTTGCGTCCAGTGGCACAGA